CACATCTTGCTGGTGTCAAACTCCACGAGCATTTTGTTTGGGCTGCTCGGGCCTTGAGAAGATGGGGGACTGGGGCCATATCTGTTCCCCCGAAGCCCCCACGTGTAGATACCGGAACTCACATCCTGATAAACCCTGGAGCCTCAACCGACTCACTTGCCAGATAGGATTGAATTATTTTCTGGTTGCTGGCCTTCGTCATCGAGGTACTTCGGGATGCACTCAGCGAGGTCAGGGTAGAGCTTAGCCAGCGCTTCCATCACGTCGTCATATGAAACATCCTCCGCACCCCACGCAGGGCATCTAAAGAAACCAAGCGATGGTGACCAGCCTGAAGCCTCCAGAAACGCCTCATTCCTAACCTTAGGCTGAAAGCAACTGGAACTCTGAATCCGAACGTATACGGTAGCAAGACGTAACACAGGACAATGCGGGGATCAGGTCAGGGCAAATGGCTCAGGAAACGCTCTATATACATATATATATACACACACATACATATATATATATATATACACGTAGATATATACGGCAAAGGAGACAAGGAGCCCAGGTATCCGGCAACGGACAGTGACACATGAAGGGAGACAAAGGCAAACAATGAGAGAGAAGGAGAGACGAGGAGCCCAGGAACCCGGCAAAATGGTCACCCACAGACAGGGATATATGAAGGGAGACAGAAAGAGACAGGGCAGGAGACAGAGGGAGATAAGGAACCCAGCAATGGTCACCAAGGGAGACAACGGAAGACAAGAGACAAGGAGCGTGTAAACCTAAACCCCTGAAACAAGCAAATGACTTGGCATCTTCAAGCCCTTCCCTGTGTACCCCAGAAAGGACACCAGCCGAAGTCCGTATCTCTGGAGGTTTCAGGGTTAAGGCATAAGACTAAGAGTTTGTGCTGCCTGTTTTGTGACTGCGTGCTTCCGAAGATCAACAAACTTCGGGGTTAGCCCCGTCACCCTGAACCCTCATTCCCCCCACTGAACCCTTCGAGTCTGGTCCTGCTTCTCCAAGATGCATCGCCTCACTTCGAATTGGTAGGTGACCTGCAGTTCGGCACTCGGGCGAGCTACCCAGGCTGGTCTTTTGTTGCTCCACTTTAAGACTTTAAGATCTAGGACCTTCATTAAAGAAATACAGACATAGATGGACACAACAGCCCAGGAAGGACTGCCATTGGCCCCCTCGATCTCCTTGTGCGTGGCACGGCAAGAATCGATGCATGCCGTCGCTTTGGGTCGGGCTGCGTGCTCCGTATGGGGCCTGAGAAAGCATCCTCTGCAACAGCAAACAAACAAAGCACTGGAACTTAAAAGCAGCACAGCAGAACGAGTAGCAAAGCCACTGATCCTAGCAAATTTTTGCAGGCGTGCCAGCAAAACACACTTTGCTCAACAGGGAAGCTCGAACTCTGAAATCCCCCCAACCCCAAGCCTCAATAAAGCCGTATGTGCGACAGCCTCGCCTTGAGGATTGCCACCATGCTTGTCAGAAGAGGCAGAACACCTTGCATGGGCAACTCGCTTGGCGGCTTCACGGGTTTGGGGTTCTGAGGTTCAGGGGGGCTCTTTGGTTTCAGGCTTTGGGCTTCAGGTCAAAAGTAGTTTGCGTCCTCGGGACCTGAACCTGCAGGGCTTCGGATGATTAGTGCCGATTTGGGGCTTCGTGACCTGAGGCTTTAGGAACCGTGGGGCTTCAGAGTTGAGAGTCTGGGCAGGATCTTGAGGACTTGACTTTGTGGGGCCGCCGGAGCATCGTCCCCAACCCTGCAGCAACGTCCGGCACGGCTTTGTATCAGCTATGGGCCCCAATTGGGGCTGTTTTGTTTTTCTTTTTGCCTTGGGTTCGGGTTCCGGCCTCAAGGTTCGGCAAAGATTTCTGAGCTCATTGGGGGCTTTACGTTGGCGTTTGGCGATCTTCAGTTATAGGGTAAAGGAGCCGAGCGCCGGGCAGATGCACAGCTAAGTCGGACAGGACAACGCCTTCCCAAACCTTTTCGAGCCGTCGAGCGCTGCGCGGCCGCTGGGCAAATGGGGCTGGTAAACCAATGCGGTCAGACCGCAACAGAAACCACTCACACACATGAATTAAGCTTTGCTTCGTAATCTCTAGGTCGTGCCCTAAAGAGCCTCCCAAACAAAGGACATAAATATCCCTGAACTTCCCAAGCCGAGTCTTCCGAAAGGACGCGACAGTCTTCTGGGGTTCTGACTTGCCCGAGGCTAAGGGTTGGATTCCGTCTCGATGTTCTTGCCAAGCCTACTTGCGACCATTTTTCACCTGCCGGCTGACACGCCATGCTTACAACACAACAAACCAACAAACTTATGATCACGTGATGACCTCCAGTCGATGCGGAAGCAGGAGACCTCAGACTCTCTTGGAAAGTTCACGTCCCGGAGCGAACCGAGCCAGTCCTCACAGGTCCACCTGAGCCAGCGTGTCACCTGCTTTACCCAACACCGCCGACACAAGTCAACGCGAGGTGGCAAGTTCGGCCTCAGACTCTCTTGGAAAGTTCACGTCCCGGAGTGAACCGAGCCACTCGAACAAAGTAGGTAAGGATTTGTTTGGGTGTCCTCACGGGTCCACCTGAGCCAGCGTGTCACCTGCTTTACCCAACACCGCCGACACAAGTCAACGCGAGGTGGCAAGTTCGGCCTCAGACTCTCTTGGAAAGTTCACGTCCCGGAGTGAACCGAGCCACTCGAACAAAGTAGGTAAGGATTTGTTTGGGTGTCCTCACGGGTCCACCTGAGCCAGCGTGTCACCTGCTTTACCCAACACCGCCGACACAAGTCAACGCGAGGTGGCAAGTTCGGCCTCAGACTCTCTTGGAAAGTTCACGTCCCGGTGCGAACCGAGCCACTCGAACAAAGTAGGTAAGGATTTGTTTGGGTGTCCTCACAGGTCCACCTGAGCCAGCGTGTCACCTGCTTTACCCAACACCGCCGACACAAGTCAACGCGAGGTGGCAAGTTCGGCCTCAGACTCTCTTGGAAAGTTCACGTCCCGGAGTGAACCGAGCCACTCGAACAAAGTAGGTAAGGATTTGTTTGGGTGTCCTCACGGGTCCACATGAGCCAGCGTGTCACCTGCTTTACCCAACACCGCCGACACAAGTCAACGCGAGGTGGCAAGTTCGGCCTCAGACTCTCTTGGAAAGTTCACGTCCCGGTGCGAACCGAGCCACTCGAACAAAGTAGGTAAGGATTTGTTTGGGTGTCCTCACAGATCCACCTGAGCCAGCGTGTCACCTGCTTTACCCAACACCGCCGACACAAGTCAACGCGAGGTGGCAAGTTCGGCCTCAGACTCTCTTGGAAAGTTCACGTCCCGGAGTGAACCGAGCCACTCGAACAAAGTAGGTAAGGATTTGTTTGGGTGTCCTCACGGGTCCACCTGAGCCAGCGTGTCACCTGCTTTACCCAACACCGCCGACACAAGTCAACGCGAGGTGGCAAGTTCGGCCTCAGACTCTCTTGGAAAGTTCACGTCCCGGTGCGAACCGAGCCACTCGAACAAAGTAGGTAAGGATTTGTTTGGGTGTCCTCACAGATCCACCTGAGCCAGCGTGTCACCTGCTTTACCCAACACCGCCGACACAAGTCAACGCGAGGTGGCAAGTTCGGCCTCAGACTCTCTTGGAAAGTTCACGTCCCGGAGTGAACCGAGCCACTCGAACAAAGTAGGTAAGGATTTGTTTGGGTGTCCTCACGGGTCCACCTGAGCCAGCGTGTCACCTTCTTTACCCAACACCGCCGACACAAGTCAACGCGAGGTGGCAAGTTCGGCCTCAGACTCTCTTGGAAAGTTCACGTCCCGGTGCGAACCGAGCCACTCGAACAAAGTAGGTAAGGATTTGTTTGGGTGTCCTCACAGGTCCACCTGAGCTAGCGTGTCACCTGCTTTACCCAACACAGCCAACACAAGTCAACGCGAGGTGGCAAGTTCGGCCTCAGACTCTCTTGGAAAGTTCACGTCCCGGAGTGAACCGAGCCACTCGAACAAAGTAGGTAAGGATTTGTTTGGGTGTCCTCACAGGTCCACCTGAGCTAGCGTGTCACCTGCTTTACCCAACACAGCCAACACAAGTCAACGCGAGGTGGCAAGTTCGGCCTCAGACTCTCTTGGAAAGTTCACGTCCCGGAGTAAACCGAGCCACTCGAACAAAGTAGGTAAGGATTTGTTTGGGTGTCCTCACAGGTCCACCTGAGCTAGCGTGTCACCTGCTTTACCCAACACAGCCAACACAAGTCAACGCGAGGTGGCAAGTTCGGCCTCAGACTCTCTTGGAAAGTTCACGTCCCGGTGCGAACCGAGCCACTCGAACAAAGTAGGTAAGGATTTGTTTGGGTGTCCTCACAGGGAGACGCCGCGGGCAACTGGACTCACTTGCAGGAAGACGCAGTTCCGGAACAAGGCGATCATGCCATGACAACTTCGAAGTGCAAGCCTCAGAGTCTCTCTTGGAAATTTCATGCTTCAGGAGAGACCCTGACAGCACTCATGCAAAGTAGGTAAGGTGATGTTTGCAGTCCTCACCGGCAAAGCGTGAAATGTATCTCTTACATGGCATCAAACTTGCCTGCTGCACAAGATGGCACACAGAGGTATTGCATTCCAACGTTGGCCCAACCCGGCTTGTAGAGCTGGCGAGGAGTTGGACGTACTGAGACTGTCCTAGAAGATTGCCCATCTGCTCCGACGAGCTGGGCGTTTCAAGATCATTTCAATGCGGAAGATCCGTCGAGTGAAACAACCAAGTTCCTTCATGACATTTCCCCATCAGACCGCTAAGAGACCCAATATGCCACCAAACCGTGACGAGAGACTTTGTTGAGGAACCCCGCAACACCCCAAGCAAAGGCTCTGAACTAAGGATTTGAAGGTCTCTTGTCAGTGTGCTTCCAACCCCTGGGCTTGAGCCCTTCATCATCTGGGCACGCCAAACTTTCTAAACCCTAAACTCCCCAAACCGGCACCGCCAACCCCGCCTCGTCGAGCTCGTCCTCATCAACCACGCCAGAGTCTAGCTCGCCTGCAGCCGGGGCCGGGTCGGAGGTTTCTAAGCCCCGAAGCCCTGCATCCCAAGCTCTCTCCACTCAGGACAGTTCAGATCATTCTCCGAGGCTCGGGTGTGGAACTAAGCCCCGGAGTTGCAAGTGGACCCTCTGCAAACGACCATATGTTGCCGCGTTCTTGTCTGTTCTTGAACCCTCTGCACTCCGCCTGAAGCCATGTCGGCTCCGCATGCAGGCTCCGGTTTCGGTGTAACTATGGCTTTCCAGGCAGCCTGTGGCCTTTCGAGGCCAAGGCACTGCTCCGTCTTCACGCTATCGACATTTACTATGGAACCCTTCAGCTCAAAAAAACTGAACCCTCGGCCCTAAACCTAACCCTCACCAAGGACTGAGGTTTGGAAAGGGGAACTCAAGCCGGAATCACGTGAATGCGAGCAATAATCCTGGTTGGAGATCATGCGAAACGATGCTCCGCATGCGGCATTCCGCTACAGTAGAAGCCTCTCTATCTCTGAGCAAGTAGCAATGCGACGGCGAGTCAAAAGCTCTGCACATCCTCTATAACACAACGCCCCTCTCTATAGAAAGCACAGCAGCTGTTCTCAGCAACCCAGTGTCGAATGCCCCTGCACATCATCTACACCGGACCATTGACCACTTCGTTTACCGGACTATTAAGGGATTTCAGCACCATGACTCAAACGTCCAGTGATACTGCCGTTGGCATGGCCAACAACCACCACCAGCAGCACCGCCATCACCAACCAACCACCACAACGACTACTATCACCATCGAAAATGCCACTAACTGGCAGGCGTAAAGCACTCCCACAGTATGCCATGGCTACTGCCATACCCCTCCTACTTTCACTGTCAACATGCACGCCGGCTTCTTAAACTTCTGGGACTTGGTCCAGACTTGGCACTTGAGAGGTTTCAGGGTGGCACTAACTTCTGAATGCCGGATTGTTTCATGACCACTTTCATCCACTATGTCCACTTGAAGCTGCATGTCCTATAATGAGCAGCACTAGTAGTGATACGAACACTAAAAGCACAAGCAGCTCCAATGGTAATTGTCATTGCGGCGGTGCTATGTTCACTACCTACTACTACTACTACTACTACTACTACTACTACTACTACTACTACTACTACTACTACTACTACTACTACTACTACTACTGTTCTTTTTTCTACTAGATACTGGGAAGCTCTCAGGAATCATTTGGCCTCGGGGCTGGCAGGTTTGAGCTGCACCTCAATTTCCTAGCAGTGCCAGTTTTATCCCGCATCTCGGCGCAGATGCACAGTCACAGGGCATTTCTGCCTTGCGGCGTCCCACGATGGAGCGGTGAGGATTGGGACTGAAAGACACCTTCACAGCTGGCTCTGGCCCTGGAAGGGCCTTTCTCCCAGAGACGTCCCGGAGCTGCGGGTCAGTGCGCCGGCACACTGATACAGGCTACAGCGGTCGGCCATCAATGAAGAGGACCTGCTCGCAGGTTCAAGGACTTGCCAAATAAATGCTTCTTGTAGATACAGTCGTGAGGAATGGCAAGGTGGAGAAACCATGCAGACGTTAGAGCAGTAAACGCCGCACAGGATGTGTGTAGTGCTTCAGATTGGATTTCGGAGGGTTGGCGCATGATTCTGCTTCAACTGACTTCCCGGGTTTCCCTTTGGGCCCACTGCAATCGCTCAGTGTACCGAACACGCACCACGGATGGAACTAAACTGGTGCACTGGCCGAAGAAAAAAGGCCTCGTCGTAGGGGACACCGGCCAGCAAAATTCTGGAAGACCTCTTGGACCGCTTCTTACAAGGAGCTCTACACTCTGTCCCCTCGTGGCCCTCACGCAGTCTAACACCCACTTTCCAAACCTGAGAAGCCAAGTTTAAACCATGTTTCGAAGCCCTTTGGACCGTTTCTGACGTGTCACCTACACACGATTGGAACCTCCGGACCCTAAACCCGGAACTCTCCACCCCACACCTCACAATCCCCAAACCCAAAATTCCGCAAACCTCCAGGGTCCTCTAAACGCGACCTCGAGCTCGTAAGGCGAGGAACCCGAAGTACGACGCTTCCTCCCGTTCTTGGGTAGGGTTTAGGGTTTCGAGTTTGGGGATTAGGGTTTGGGGTTTAGGGTTTGGGTGCTTTAGGGCGAGTAAGGTTAGTATGGTTTCGGCTTTCTGGCTTCGGGCTTACAAGGGCTCTATACTGGTTCTACTCGGGTTCTCTGGGGCCTTGTAGGGTTCTTTGTTTTCGTTTTGGGGTTTAGGGGTGTTCCCCTGTTAGGGTTTGGCTTTACGTTTACACGTCTCTCGAGGGTTTTCGTTTTTTGTGGTCCGGGCTCAGGCTCCGAAGGCATAATCGCATAATTAATCCCCAAACCTTATACCCTTGGACCCCAAATAACCTACAATTTTAAGGACGGTGTGCCTGTCAATGATGGGGCTTCGGGCCTTGAGTTTCTTCGCATGAACGAGTCTTGAGTTTAGGCATGTGGGTCCACACAAGCTCAAGTTCCATGGATTCCTGGCTACGGACGACGGGTCAACTCATGACGAGAAGAACAAAGAGGACAACGATGCGCACAATCTGCGATCTGTCTATCCTTGCGGATACAAGTAGGTGTGACATGTCTAAAGCCCCCAAGTTGTCATCGTATGTATGTCGTGAAGGAAGACATGCAAGGTCACAGACCTCGGACGTCGATGAAGTGGCGATATAGCAAACGTCGGATGCTGTTCCTAGCCTTGGCAAGCGGGATAGCGCCTACACAGCAGTTGAGACTGCTTGGGTATGCTGACTTTACTTCACTGTGCAACAGCTTTCATGTGTATTTCTGCCTTCTGTCAAGAAATGCGACTGCCGTCAGTAAGATCACAATGACATCAATGAGCTCACACTGCAGCTGCTGGTTATCAAAACTAGTGCCCTCTACTGTCCAGCAGTAGACTCGCAACCCGCAAAAGAGAGAGATCTGGCGCTCCTCTTAGACTTACCCAAGTGGACCGCTGAAAACGGGCACTAGTAGTACCGGCATTAGAACCAGCTGAGTAGGAGTCGGAGTACGAGTAGGGGAGTAGCAGTAGCAGTAGCCGTAGCCGTAGCAGCAGCAGCGGCAGCAAAACTGGGTGCCTCCAAATGCAAAAAAGGAAAGAAGCACAACAGTCTAGACCGGACGTAGGCCCGTGCTGAAGTCATCGGGAGCCGGAAGAACCTCAGCATCTTGATTGAGGACACCGTATAGGCCAAAAAAGTGGAAGTCCGAATACATCTTTCTGGCCAGGTGAACCGTAAACATGTCTTAGCTTTTGACAACCCGGGCCCGAACCCAAACCCGGCTTCGAACTCACAAGTGTCACGATCGCACTCCAAACAGTAGCAGCAAGGCAATATTTAAAAAAACACCATCGCGATAAGAAGGTTAACATGCAACAAATCAAGCAGTGAAAAATCGCAGCGAGGGCAACACTATGCAGACATTTCAGCGGATTCGGACATCTTGTGTTGCAACGTGTCCTTAGGATTGCAAACTGTAGGGTTGCAGCTTGCCAGCACAGAAAACCAACCTGTCAGAGGCCTCGTGCACCACAACGAAACTCGAGTCTGCACATCAAGCCCCGGGGAAGCCGCGACACGGACAAATCCTGAACCGCTTGAACCCTGAATCGTTTGTTTTGTTCCTGCCTCCTGCACCAATGCATCTGCTTCAGCCAATCCTGCAGCAAAGTCATGCAAAACGCTCGTAAGCTGACGGACATAATCGTCGGTTGTCGTTATGCAGGGAGCAATCGCGGTGCTGGTGGCAATGGTGAGAGTCTTGGTGGTGCAAAAAAGCACAACAGCAGTTAAACAAGTTAAACAAAGCGGCGAGATGACTGACGAGTGATCCCAAGATCAGGATGGGCCTCCGTCCATGTAGCAAAGCTTCAGGCTTCTCCTGCCGATGGTTTTCATATTGAAGTTTCACGTTTTGGGTTCTACGTAATATGGCTCGGGTTCTACAACTCAATGTCCAAACTTCGCATCTTAGGCTCGGGGATGCGGTTCAGGATCTGGGTCAACCCTGGGAGGTCCTAACCATCCTTTCAGGTCTACGGACGACCATGGCCTTGGCCTCCAGGGGTCGAGATGTGGTCCACAGCAAAGCTTTCAAGCTGATCATAACTGTTCGTATCCATACTCCTATTTGTGGCCGACCGCGACCAAGGCCATGACAAGTTCCGCCTCCCGTTCTACTGCTAATAAAACGGTATGCCTGAGACTTCGGATTCAGAGCTCGGGTTGATATCTCTGGGCGCACGACAACTGATTGCTTCTGGATCTGCGATGTAGCAATTCGTTCCAAGGACGAATTGTAACAAGGAGCAATGACATAAAGAACCTCCTCCGACATGCTACCCTTTGCCTGTCCGTAACTGCTCTAAACCCTGTCACGCTCCGCCACAGACCCTTTCACAGCCCTTGCTGTACCCTGCCAATGGGTTCCTATAGGCCCTGTCGCGCCCTACCACAGACCCTGTGACGGCCACGCACATCGATGCGCTGCGGCCACGGGGGTAGCAGTGACCGCAGACTTTGACAACTCACAGCGACGCCGGCCCGTCCAAACAGGCCGGACATCACAACAAAAACAACCAAATCATAGGGTCTGTCAGAGGCCTCTGGAACAGGCCCTGTCGACATGCAGGGCCTGTCCAAAGGGTGCGCAGGCCCTGGCCCACCCTGTGCCGTTGGGGCCTTTCCAAGGGGTGCGTAGGCCCTGTCATAGGCCCGTGGTCAGGGGTGCACAGAACCTGACATATGGACGACAGCAGTGAAGGCTGCAGTGAACCCGGTGTCCTCAAGTCGCAAAATGTCGTCTCAATGCGACGCAAGCGGACAATCAACGAAGCCTGGCTGGTGGAAAGTGATGCTGTTGCAGGCCTCTTCTTGTTGTATGGTTTTGATTTGAAGTGTCTTCGCCGCAGAAACATGACCATAGTCATCAACATCATGCTCTTAACAATGCCTTGTGACAGATGTTTATCCATAGATGCCCAACTGGCTGGCCGGGAACACCGGTAGAGATGGCAGCTGCAAATCCACCTTTCATGATCCAATGGTATGTGCATTGACTCGCTAACAGATTTACGCATGTCAATCGCAACTGCTGTGGGATACAGGGTAAGTGGCAGCGCAGTTCTTCCACAGGCTTCCATCCGACTCAAACGGCCAATCAAAAGCAAACTGTGTGTGTGTGTGTATGTTGCTTCTTCCTGCGGCAGATACACAGCGGGAGCAGTTCTGCAAGCCCCAAGCTCCCAGCCTCTTCAAGCAGGCACGACAGCTCCAAGGCCTCTCGCGGTCACTGCACTTAAGTTAAGATTGCAGGTTCAGATCAGTTCGGCAAAGCAACTGTCAAACATCGCATTTTGAATTACAAGAAAGCTGACATAACATCAACATACTTTGTGAAGTAGTATGCAGCACGACGTCGATCAGAATCTTGTGTCCTTCCCATCCTGCACTGCTGGCATGGCATCTAGGTTTGGCTTTTTTCGCAAGCATCCACACATCAAGCCCAACTGCATGGCGAGGGTGCGACATAGGAGGCTCAAAGGAGAAGGAGCAGGAGCGTCGTTCTTGCTGTGCACATTCACTTGCAGTGCCGAACTCCCCTGAAAGAACATGTCGTGGACGTGAATTTCCCTACTGCTTCCGAACGCGAACCCGCACGCTTTGCCCCGAAAAGCCTTAGAGACCAACAAAGAATCCCCTGAACTCTCAAAGGTCGTCCAGCCGTCGCTTCTCCAAGCGTCTGAAACCCCAGCCTGGTCCAGGATGCCGACCACAGCAGTCAGGGCGTCCTTCATTAAGCTTTATCGGTCCATCGTCTAAGTTTTAGGACGTTGGGTTTGGGATGTCCTTCTTGCTGGTCTGACCGGTACTAGCGATACTGCAGTCCTGATCCTTGTAATTAACCACGATTAGCTGTGCCTTGTTGCTAGGGTGGGTACCATCGCAGGTATTACCAATTTGTGCTCCCGGTCATGGCTCTTGGGACTTTTCTCCAAGACGCTGGGCTAGGGAGCTTGAAGGCACGTTAAAGGAAGTGCAGAGGAGGCAGACTGGCGACATTCAGACAAAGGGTCTGGGTCTTGCTGCAACTCCGCCACTCCCAAACCCCCGGTCCCGCGACCCCCCAGACCCCCCTCCGCAAAAAAAAAAGAAACGAGCAAAAAAGTATGGAAAAAGTATCACCCCGCCCGCCAAACTCAATAGACTCCACTCCCGCGACCGCCACACCGTTAACTAGAACCCCGGCATGCTTAATGCCCAGCTGCAGCTGTCAACCCCAAATTCCCTACCTCCGCCCCCCCCCCTCCACCAAAAAGAAAGGGCAACAGACGTCACCAAACCCGCCTGCGAGCCAGCCTCCAGGAAGCTCCGGGCCTGGATCAAAAAGGAACGGCCATGAAGGCAATAGATAATTACATGTACTTGCGCATGTTTCTCTATAGCCATCTACATATATATATATACACACATGTACATATATATGTATGTGTATAAAATAACAAATACGGGTATTACCCGTCGTACGCGCGTGGCTTTTCGTTCAGCGTCTGACAGAACGGCAGGGGTCCTTCTAATGAGAATACTAATCTGTTTAGGTTCTATGTTCAGGAACCCCATTGTTGTGAGACTCCCATATCGGCATTGGCACTAGCATTCACACCGACATGCTTGGTCTTGGTGTTGTATTTTCTGTTCTTGGGAATAGCCAGTACCACTACTCCTCTGATCATTGCGAATGCTTGTGGGAACAGGAATCGTGAAGAGGACGAAAAAAAGATTGCAACAGCAGCCATACTCGCAGCGACCATACGAGGAAGGGCATCTAGACTAGGTGGATAAGGAAAGCTGAACTGAGAAGTCTACTAATCTACTAGTAGGGATGTGGTAACACAACGGTGTTGCACCTGTAGCTGATGACAACATCAACAACTAACATTGATGCTGATGACAAGAACTACAAACATACTCAGAGCGACACAGACCAGACCAGCGAATAGACGCGATACCGTCAAAAGCAACAGTCCTCGCAGTACTTAAGAAATTCAAAAGGGAAGGGCACATCCTCTAGCGGTTTCACCAATCACAAGCATGACCATCGTCAACACCACAACCATCAACATCGCCCTCATCATAGAAATAATGACAAATCCAGAGGAACCATACAGCCTACTAGAGCATTGTTGCTGCCAGGCTTGCTGGTGCTTCAGGTGCATATTAACGTGGACCAAACTGCCACACTTCAGTTCGCCTCTGCATCTCAACATAGCGCTGATAGTACTCTCACCACTCGTCATAATACCACTGCTGAAGAAACAAGCAGAATGTTGACGATCAGAATCATCTTACTAACAACATCACTACCAGCAGCAGCACCACTAGCATAACCACGTCCTTCATCACCAAGACGAGTTGGTGTTTAGACGGATTTAGGGTTTGTGACATGATGGACTCCTGACTCCAGACCTCAAGAAGACCGAAGCCCAGCTCTTGATCCCGCCAACGAACTCCATACGCAACCCTGAAGGCACACCTAAGCCCGGAGATGGCCACCAACTGCAAGGACCCAAAGCCTACTCGCAAGGCCTGCTCTTGGTTTGAGACAAACGAGACCCAGACAAGACTTAGAAGAATTAGACGACGACTCGAAGACCTTGTCTAAAGCCTTCCGGGGCTTCTCGAATATGTGAAACCATCGAGGCACAGGCCACACAGCGCCGGAGGCAACCGCTGTGGGCGGCGAGGAGTGCGTCCAGGGAGGAAGCTTCCATCACCTGCGGCTTTGGGGTCAGGACCTGGAGGGCTCCCTTGTCGCTGGGTTCAGGGTGGGGCTTCGCTTGGCGAGTGAGCCGTGAGTGGGGCCTGGGGGCTTCGCGAATTTGGACAGAGGTCGCAAGATTTCTGGCATCAAGCACTGTCCCCTTTGCGAGCAGAGTTCCGTTCAGACCATCCCCTCAAAGCTACATCGTCATCTAAGCAACTGTTGCACTATATATATATATATAGACTATAGTCATCAGATTACAAACATCGTCATGACGATAACTACCAGAAGAAAAAGAATTTGTAGAGTGCGCCCACCAATCGTGAGCAGCTGACAACTAGAGCCCTAGCACCCTTACAAGATAAATGCACCTTCGCTTCCAGCAGCTTGAACTCCGTGGCCACGACATCCACCAGGAGGTAGCGATGAATTCTGAGCGGTGTGTTCAAGGATTTCGACTATTGCAGATGGATCGAATGCACGCTCTTTGGGCAATCCCTTCAGCTACAAAACCGGCTGAGGCTTGTCGGACATCAGCCAAATCGAAGGAGAAGCCGTGGCCACGGCGTGGCCGCGAAATGGTGAAGTTCATGGCGCAATGCGATGAGGGCCGTCCTGGGCATGAGCCGAACGTCAAAGCTCCGTCAGGCCTTCGATTAATTTCTACCACACGCCTTGCAAAGCTTTGAAGACTGGAACCAACCCAAGACCCAGAACCTTAGGTCGAAAAGAAGCTCAAAAGGCCGCCCACAACAGATCTTGCCGCTTAGGTCTAGAGTCTAGCACTTCGTAACTTCGAGATTGGTTCGGAGTCATCTCAAAAGTGTCCAGTTCCTTCGGTCCTTTGGGCCTTGGGGAAAAGAAACGTGAATGAAAACTATCAAATGCACCACCCAATACAACCTGCCAAAAAACGATGCAGCCTGCAAAGGAGAAAGGAGGACCCAAGGACTGGAGCCCCAAGCCGCTCAAACAGAGAAAGGAAGCCAAAAAGCCCGACCAACACCTCTTAGAGCTTTGTCAAAGCTCAAATGCGCAGCTGGGGCCCTAGTGACGAGGAAACTCACAACAGCATCCCCGAGCCCCTTGCGGCGGCATCGCAGAGCCCCTGCTGCCTGGAGGGCAACGACTTCGAGGCTCGACACGGTTGCTGAAAGCAGCGTGCGATGCTTCTCAGCCGGCTTCCCGCTTTGTTATCTCTTCTCTGTTCCTGACGAGTGCCGCCCTGGATTGTTAGGTGCGGGAACAAGGCAGAGGCAGAGGCAGGACGAAGGTGAAGGGAACATAGAGGACGAGGTTCTGATTTCTGGACCAGGGTCTTTGGGTAGCCGGCATGAGCTGTCTCGTCCCAAAACCCAAAAAGCCCCGGAACCCTAACACCTCAACCTAAGCTTTGCCCGGATCCCACCTGCGCCAATGCCAGCCAGGGCACCCCTCGGAGCAGGGTGCAGGACTCATCAAGTACTTCGAGACGTGGGGGTTCAAACACAAGGACTTCTGTGCGGGAAAGAAGACATGCATACATGCAGACGTGTAGATATCCGGATGTGCTCGCAGCCCATGCAGACGAAATTCCTCACCAGACTTGCCCAAGGTTTCGGCTCGGTTTGGAGGCTTGCAGCTTGAAAGGTCGGAATGCGAAACCATGGCTGTCGTCCAGAGCAGCCCAACCCTGTACTGGGGCAGAGGCCAAGCTCCCTTGAGGCACTCGAGGGCGTGGTGCGCTAAAGCGATGATCCGGAAGAGCCTAGCATGCAACATTCCTCCAAACATGACTACGGTTCCTTCACAACAAAAACGGGTCATAGGAGCCTGTGAAGAAAGTTCTTAAGCCCAAAATGGACTCGGAGCTAGAGACTCCGAGGCCCGTGAAGCACTGGCGTGACAAAGATGGCTCCTGAAGGCATATGACTCACACGACGACAAGTTCTCACTAACATTACTAAGTCATTACTATGTCCTGTACTACAACGATCATTGTTTCGATGTTCTTCCAACGAAGTTATCAGACCGACCTCGTGTACTGCATCAGCACACGCTCAGTGAAGATCTCGCTCATAGGGAACTCGAGCTTCATTCTGAACCTGTGTCCAAGGCAGTAGATGCAAGCATGCCTAAGCTTTCGTCGAGGTACCACGGCACGTGCAGAGGTATATGCGTGATACGCACATAAATGTATGCATACCTACATGCATGCATGCATACATACTTACATGCGAACCTATACAGGTACACAAATCATACACATGGATATTATGGCGCTTCGAAAACACATCACCTTCCATACGGCTTAAGTAGGAGATGAACCACTATGCTCCGAAGCCCCTGAAGGTTGGAACTGAAGCTTCACATATTGCTAGTGTGGGAATGGAGCCCTCGGCAATTGAAGTCATCCGAAGTCACGTGCCCGCTCGCGATGCTTTTAATACGATGCTGCTCCCACTGAAAAACAGCTATGACGAAAGTTGGACTCACATGACTGCGCCTGATGCCATCAAGGAAAGACACCGGCCCGTGGCCTGCAGATCAGGCAGGGTTGAGGGTGTAGGAAACTCAGCTAGGGTCAAGTCGAGTTCAGAAGTGGAGGACCTGTCTGATGGACTTGGGCTTCTCTCCGCAGTTCGGAGTTGGATCATATGCCATAAGCTCGAGGGCTTCTCTTGTCTCGAGTGCTTGGAGAACCGCGGGGAGTGCTTCTTAGAAGACATTTCAGAATCCGGCTGCCTCTTCACGGAGGATTTGGACATCAAGCGTGGATGTCCCATGATGTCATGAACGAAGGACATGAGCTAGTGGCTGGCCACTAGCGCGCAAGACGAAAACAGGACGTTGCCGAAAATCTCCGACCCGCCGAAGCCTAGTAAGGAGGGCGCAGGGCTCAACTGCAGAAAGATTCTGCTCAGCAGAGCGTCATCCTGACACACCACAGTCTTGCGTGCGGCTTGGGGCTTCCAGCCGCTTGCTCTCAGAAGCCACACGGCTTTGATGCTCTGTGCGCTCGGTTTCCCTCTGCGGACGCTCCTCCGGAGACGAAGGCCGGGGCACCACCGACTGGAAGAGCGCCTGGAGTGCCTCGGATCTTTAACCAACGGGGCCTTCGGGGCCTTCTCGGTGCAGCTTTATTTTTTATGGGGGGAGGGGAGTCTCACTTCGCGTCTGTCTGTCTTACATCCAAACCACAAAGCGACCACCCTCACCGAAAAAAACGCTTGCAGTGCCGAGCACCGGGCTCCTTCCACAACGGAGGCCTGAATGGAAGTGAACACCGCTTTCATTCATGCGTAAGGGTATCATCTGAACATCCGGACTGGCTCTTTAGAAGACATCCGACCAGGCTTTACGGTGGTTCCCAGGTCCGTCGACCTGGGCTGTACACGTTTTGAAAAGGCGGGTGGCGGGGGGCACTCCACTGTACATGAGGGTGCCCCCGGGCCTCGCACCTCTGCCTCACTGAGCGTAACTGTGCAGAGAAATCTTCAGAGCTGCGAAAAACTCCCTACTCGTCCCTACCTCCTTTCACCGAAGAGCTGGAGCATGTACAGGAAGAAGTTCAGGAAATCCATGTAGAGATTCCACGCAGCAAAGGCATACATATCAAGCGTGTACTCGACGTGGCGCTTGCCACCTCCAAAGTTCGCAGAAGCAGAGCCGAAGATCTGCTGCGTGTCGTAGACTATGATGAAGCCGAACAGCGTTGCCCCCAGTCCGGCGATTATCTTGGTGACAACCACACTGCTTGGAAAGAAGGAATACACACAGATGGTCATGAGCAGGCCCAACACAGCTACCATGATGTAAGCACCACAGCCGGTGAAATCTGCCTGGGTGCGCACGGCGTAGATCGTCAGGGCAATAATCAAGACTGCCGTGAGCGCAAAGACGAGCAAGACCGACTGTGCTGTGTATTGTGCACAGATGAACCCCACTACCACACCAAGGCACAACGACCAAAGAGTCAGGTACATGTAGTTCCATGGGGCCGTCTTCATCATCCAGAAGTAACTCTGAAAGAGTCCTGTGCTTCCACAGCACAAACCCTGGCAGGAAGCGGCCATGTCAAAGACCAGCTGGGCAATCACGACCCCCACGGCGATGTACAGGATCCAGACATGCTGGAGGATGAACTCCTGCGCCTTGTCAGCCACAAGAACGAAAGGCAAGCTGACTGCGAAGGTGAGCAGCAGCATCATCCCGAGGATCCCATACACTTTCTTCACGAATCCCAGCCGAATGTCAGGTGGAAGGTGGACGTCCCTGCACGCCAGCTGCAAGACGTCCAGGTTTGGACTTTCCGGGCGAGGCATCTGCTGAGATGCTGCGCTGTTGGGGCAGTGGGCGTGGTGGGCATGGTTGGGGTGGTGGGGGTGCTGAGGATAGTGCGGATACGGCTGCTCGACGTCCGCCGGCGTTCCCACCACCTTGCCCTGAACCACTGGAAGCGCAGCCATGCTGTCGGCACTGCTCTCTGCTCTACTCGCCAGGTCTTCAGCCAAGACTGCAGATATCCTGCTGGTCGATCTTACGACATCATGTTGGATCCCAGAGGAACTAGTAACTTGTCTCTGACTATATTCACGCAGCATTCTGATCGAGCTGGGTGATATCCTCTCGCACGGAGGCTACACAGGAGGGCCTGAAACTGCAACGTGCGTCAGACAGCTGAAGTTTATTGCTTCCTGCACAGGTCAGGGCACTGGCTTTACAGTGGGTTGGCTATGCATTCCCAGGTCCGTCGACCTGGGCTGTACACGTTTTGAAAAGGCGGGTGGCCGGGGGGCACTCAACTGTACATGAGGGTGCCCCCGGCCTTGCACCTCTGCCTCACTGAGCGTAACTGTGCAGAGAAATCTTCAGAGCTGCGAAAAACTCCCTACTCGTCCCTACCTCCTTTCACCGAAGAGCTGGAGCATGTACAGGAAGAAGTTCAGGAAATCCATGTAGAGATTCCACGCAGCAAAGGCGTACATATCAAGCGTGTACTCGACGTGGCGCTTGCCACCTCCGAAGTCCGCAGAAGCAGAGCCGAAGATCTGCTGCGTGTCGTAGACTATGATGAAGCCGAACAGCGTTGCCCCCAGTCCGGCGATTATCTTGGTGACAACCACACTGCTTGGAAAGAAGGAATACACACAGATGGTCATGAGCAGGCCCAACACAGCTACCATGATGTAAGCACCACAGCCGGTGAAATCTGCCTGGGTGCGCACGGCGTAGATCGTCAGGGCAATAATCAAGACTGCCGTGAGCGCAAAGACGAGCAAGACCGACTGTGCTGTGTATTGTGCACAGATGAACCCCACTACCACACCAAGGCACAACGACCAAAGAGTCAGGTACATGTAGTTCCATGGGGCCGTCTTCATCATCCAGAAGTAACTCTGAAAGAGTCCTGTGCTTCCACAGCACAAACCCTGGCAGGAAGCGGCCATGTCAAAGACCAGCTGGGCAATCACGACCCCCACGGCGATGTACAGGATCCAGACATGCTGGAGGATGAACTCCTGCGCCTTGTCAGCCACAAGAACGAAAGGCAAGCTGACTGCGAAGGTGAGCAGCAGCATCATCCCGAGGATCCCATACACTTTCTTCACGAATCCCAGCCGAATGTCAGGTGGAAGGTGGACGTCCCTGCACGCCAGCTGCAAGACGTCCAGGTTTGGACTTTCCGGGCGAGGCATCTGCTGAGATGCTGCGCTGTTGGGGCAGTGGGCGTGGTGGGCATGGTTGGGGTGGTGGGGGTGCTGAGGATAGTGCGGATACGGCTGCTCGACGTCCGCCGGCGTTCCCACCACCTTGCCCTGAACCACTGGAAACGCAGCCATGCTGTCGGCACTGCTCTCTGCTCTACTCGCCAGGTCTTCAGCCAAGACTGCAGATAGCAGAAGACCAGCCATCAGTCGGCACATGACAAAATAACAAAAGCGTAGCTGACTCCTGACATGCGGCTTTCCCATACCGTGTGCTGACAATTGAAGATTTAACTTTCCTTCTTCTCCTCACTGATTCGACCCTCAACCACAAGCCGGATTCAAAACCATGGACTCATAGACCTAGATCTTAAACCTCAAACCTTGAAACTCTCCCAGAAGGCCTCGTCAAGGATTGGCCGGTTGGCGTAGAGGGCGATGGCCTCCGCTGAGGCTTAGGGGCATAGGTTGGGCTTGAAGGTACAATCCCTTGCACGGATCGATCGAGTGCTGTTACCACTGAGATTGTGCGCTATCTTCATCTCGGTTTAGTCTGACCTTCGAAGCTTGTAATATCGCCGACACCACTGACGACGCTAAAAACAACAACGACGAAGACGGCAATGACTAATCTTGCTGCTTTTCGGTTTGGAGCTCCGACTTCCACTTTGCGGCGCTTTGCAGTAACCTGCTTCCAACATGCTAAAGCTTGGTTCAAGCACAGCGCCCTTAAGCTCCATGCTCCAAACAAGCAGCTAAGCAAAGCAGTACAAGGACCCAAACTCTGCGTCCCAATGGTCTCAAACATGAGCATGAGTCGAAGAGAAGCCTTGCCTTCGCCAAAAAAGGCTCTAGCAGCCGCGACCTAGGAAAAGCAAATGGGCGGTGTTGATGATGATGATGATGGTGAGGATGAAGATGAGGATTATGTCTATAATGATGAAGATGATAATGATGAGGAGGATGAGGATGAGGATGAGGATGGATGATGAGGATGATGAGGATGGATGATGAGGATGATGATCCTGCTGATGTTGATGCTGCCCTTGTTGCCACTTGTGTCAACGATGTTGATTGAGTGCTGCTCGTGGTTGTCGCAGTTTCTGGTGTTTCTGTTGTTGCTGCTGTTTCTGATATTGATGTTGCAGCTGTTGTCATTCCTATTTTTTGGCTATTGTTGTTGCTGCTGTGGTTGGGCTAAATGACAATGCTGCTGCAGCTGTTCAACTTGCGATGGCAGTGGTGGTGGCGGAAGAGGCGGCAGCTGGTGTGAAGACAGTGCTTTTGCCGTCGTGGTGCATGCAACTGCCTTGATCATACGGACACAAGTCCAATTCATTGTAGTGAGCACCAACATCCCTAGCCAAGACATCGGTAGTCGTCATCATCGTCATAGCGATGGATGATGAAGTACCATCAGCTGGTTTCTAACTTTGGCTTGTCTCGTTGCTTGGTCAATTGTTTCTGCTAGTGCTGCTACTGTTACTGCTACTGCTACTGCCACTGCCACTGCCACTGCTGCTGCTGCTACTTCTACCACCACTACTACTACCAGTGATCCATCCTCATATCCTAAACCCTCAACCCCCCAAGTTGCCCTGGCACTACACAGTCTGAGGTCACGGCTCGCCCATCAAGATGTAGCGCTGCAGCCTCGGATCTTTTAGCTTAGACGTAACAAGTAGGGTTCTTAGTATCGGAAGGTGGTTATAGGTCTCGGAACGGGGTTGTAAGCAAACCTTCGATATCAACATAACGGCTTGACGTAGAGTCGTAGAGTCCTGCCTCCTGAGTCCCCCCATCCTTCAAGGAGCGGTTATCATTTTCCTTGGCTTTTGCTGTTGGGGAAGTGCTGGCTTTATGACTTCAACCGCTGCTCGAAGCTTGGGAGCTTGGGGAACTCAGGAATGATGCCACAAGGTTTCGTGAACGGCTCTAGGGCCTAGGGTTTTGAGGCCGGCAGGGCCCGGTGGACGACGGCGCTTGAACGCTTCAGCTGAGGCTGGAGGGTTTGGCTTAACCTGTGTCCAGAGGACGCTTCCTGGCACCGAGGCCACCGCAGCTTCAGGTGGCGAGGAAGATTGAGCTCGAAGACCTAAAACTGCGAGATATCAGATATCGCACTTCCGGAAATCCGAAACTGTAGTCCTGGATAAGAGTTGGTCCTAGAGTCCTAGACTAGGAGGAGCATCACGGCATCACGGCATCACGCCACTGAGCCCAATGCGAACTTCGTTACGACAGCCTTCTCCACCCTGGCTCAGCAGCGCCGAAGTCTCTGCAGTGCTGCCCCAAAATGGCTAAAGATCTGAGGCCCGTTGCCAATGCGACTGAATGCGAAGTGGTCGGATGAGGCAGTTCCTGAAGGCAACTTGCTTCGGGGCTGAGGATATTCGCCTGAACCGAGAGGGTTCTCGTTCAACAGAAGCCTGAAGAAACAAGGCTCTGATCACCCCGACACCCGAAACATTTTGCGACACGACATGCACTTTGCACACTTTACACTCCTTCATGATAGCAACACACCCATGGTCGAAAATTCCCAGGAGTTCGGTGACACGAGCTGACCGCAAGACCCTACGCCACAAGCGTGCTGGGGCAGGGGCTCCAAACTAACTTCAAGCGGCACCGCACCGCCTTTCCAGATCATTTCTGCATCCTGGCGCTTGGTGGGTCTTGGTTGGTGTTGCTACTTTGGAGAAACTTCGTGATAAGACTTCAACGATTTGGGGCCATAAGATGCTCTGCACTGTCCTTCCTCCTCTTACTGTTCGCGCTGTTCGTACTAGTCACTAGTCTTGGGCGCAGCTCTTCTTCAACCGGTAATATTCCTTGGCTGCCAGCTCTGTCACGACGGTCTTGTTGTTGATTTAGCTGCCCAACAGAGTACTCACCTACAGTAGTATTACCTTTGGACCACCAGCCCAGTTTCGGCCTGGGTCATGTTCATCGGCTCGGCCTCGTAGAGCGGCGGACGCTCCTGCAAAGGGCCCAAGCCCCCAAAAACGGCTTAAAGTTTTTGGGCTGCCGTGGCTGAGGCTGCGGCCAAAGTTTTCGGCTCCGCAACAGCAGAAACAGGTGACGGAGCAGGGCTGTGAACCTTGACGGGCCGCGAAGGCGAAGTTGGGATCTCGCCGACTCTGGGCGCTGTCTGGGAAGCGGCCTGGGGCACTGCACTCCTCGTGCTCACTGCCCTCGTGCTCGGAGGTTCGGTAACGACCGATGCCTGCACACCGGCCCGGGCGTAGAGTCCTTGAAGCACCGTTCGCACGAGGCCCTTCAGGCCGCTCTCCACTTGCGGAGCCGGAGCTTCTTGCTTTGAGCTCAGCTCCACAGCGCCCTCTGCACGGGCAAGTGCCGTCGCTGCCAAGAAGCCTGGCTGCTCGGGCCGAGGTGTGCCCGGTGTGCCCCGGAGGCGGTGCAGCTTCCACTTCAGCAACTGTTGCTCCTGGGCAGTCTGCTGCATCCGCTGGCGATGCTCTGCGTCCAGCGCTTCTCTTGCATCTTGCAGAGTGCGTGGAGAGGGTGGCTGCAAGACAGCTAGGGCCGTCTCCTCCTCACGTCTGGCCTCAATACGCAGAAGCTCTGATCGTTCTGCCACCTGGGCATCCAGAGCAGCCTTGTACTCTTGCTGTTTTTGCTGCTTCTGTCTAGCATCCTGCAAATTATCCACAGCAGCGGTTGCGGCAGGAAGTGCTCGTGGCGAGGAGGGACGCTGGCTCTGAGCTTGAAGGCCCCGAAGTCGTTCCGCTGTCCGCCTCCTGAACACCAGCTGATCCGAAAGCGCTTTTGCAGCTTCTGGGTCAGGTGGCCTGGAGCCGCCCTCTGCGGATACGAGCAGGCGGAAGCCGGAGCTCCGAATCGGGTTGGGTTCTTGGTTCCGATCCACATCCAAATCTGATCTACTGGACGCAAAGGCTCGCACTTCGCGGTCAAAACTGTCAAAGCAGCTGCCGAAAGAATGGACAGCGTACGAGGCCTCGTCACCTGGCTCGCTGCAATCCAGGATCCGCAACTTGTGCGGCAGTGTAGAAAGCGGCAGGTGGATGGAACTCAAGAAATCCGGGAATGTCAAGCCACGGCTGGTTGCGTCGCTCTCCTCACCCCGCAGCCGTGCGGTGAGGCTTTGGAACAGTGGCTGCAGAGACCGTTGCAGGATCCACAAAGGCACCAGGTCCATGGGATGAGCCGGCTCCAATGACCCGCGCGGGCGGCTGCATGCCTGCCACCGCAATGCGGACAGTTCGTGCGCACGGACAAAGCCCAGCAAGCCGTCTAAGAGCTGTCCTCGAGACAGGGCCGACAGCGCCTGGGCCACTGGCTGCTTCGACTGCTTCTGGCAGCCACACAGGGCCAGCACTTCTTGCAGCTGTCGCAGCCACGGCTGCAGCCCTACCCAGAACTGGAGAAAGCTGCGGCCTTCTCGCAGAGCAGCGGCCACCTTTCCGTCCAGGATATTGAGCAGATCTCGGGTTACATTTCCCAATGCCTGGGCAGTCAGGCTCGCACTGCGGCCAAGGGAACCGGATAACTGTTTCAGTCGCAAGCAGCTGCTGCAGATATCTGCCCACGCTCCCAGTAATGCTTGCTGTGAACCCTTCGCGATGCACTGCACCAGCATGTCACGGACCCTGAAGCAGGAAGATGAAATTCCGTGAAGAGCGAGCCAGGCAAAGCGAAGCATTAGCGATGCCGCATGCGAAGTTGCTGAAGCGCCGATGCACCCCCAAGATTCGCGAGAGTCTACTGCCGAGACTGTGCTCTCCCACAAACGCTGCCACTTCTCCTGCCTGCTTCCATGGGCGTCCTCATGGACGAAGCCAACGGGCTCCCTTGCTGGCGTCGGCGCTTCCAAGCACGGAGGCTCGCTGTCCGGCTCTGGCTCTGGATGGTCTGCTGGTGGGGTCCGTGATGCCTCCACCTGACATCTCGGAATATCGAAGAATCCCGACACCTTTTCGGAAGCCTTAAGTGGAACCTTCTCGTGCACTTCCGGTACTTCCTTGGATTCCTTCCTGTTTGGTGCAACCTGCGGTGTGAGCCAGTGCCATGGATCTAAGTCAGAGGCAAAAGGCTGTTTGGGCTCGCTCCCGCTGTTTTCAAGGAGGTGTTGTCGCAGCTCCCCCTCGGTTTGTCTTCCAGAACTTCTGCGCAGGAAGCTGCCAGCAGCTCTAGTGCTTGACATGTAGCCAGTCTCATACAATGCCTGCCTAGACACCGTGCCGAGTCCGGAATCCCAGGCCAAAGTCTTGCAAAGCAAAAACAAGACCTTCAGAACGGGTTCGTGGTCGCAGTCGGACTGCGGTGCGAGCCCCAGCCGTCCGACAAGCAGTTCCAGTGAAATCGCCGCTGCGGTGCGGCCGGCACTCCGAAGATGCCAGAGCAGCACGAGCAGGGTCTCGGCAGCTGGGTATGTCATTGAAGTTCCGTCCTTCCTGCGTTTAAGGAGGTGCTCCCATGCTGGACGCGCATCAGAAGCTCCCACAGAAAAAGCCAACGAATTCATGCAGGTGAGAACTGAACCTTTGGCACCATGTGGCATCTGGAATCATAGGCAGGCCCACAAGATGACTTCAGCTAAGGCCAAATCGAGAGCACGTCCACGATTGGCTTGCCTGTAAACAGAAGACATATGATCACAACAAATGACACGCAACAACAAGCTTTCCATTTGTGAGCAAGAATCAACTACCTCAGTTGCCAAGGGGTAGTCCGTCTACTCCAGGTGCTCGTTCCCAACTCCACTGCCACAGGACCACCACGGCGCATGAGAGCAGACAGTTCCTAGAGTATGAGTTTGAATGAACACTCCAAAGTGTAGTGTTGGTGCTTTTGTGAACTGCTTGCACATCGAACGGCCCGTCCGAAATGGCAATTTATAGTACTGCATGCTAAAACTAGTGCGCTGTAACGATCCAAGGCTGGGCCGAAGTCAAATCAGAGCTGTGCCTGCGGCCTGCGTGAGGTCTAGGCGGGTTGAATTTCGGTGGATTCGACTTTTCCAGCTTGCTGCAAGACTGTCTCTGCGGCTGCATAGCCGGGCACCAGCTAGAGTCAGCTAGAGCTCCTCCACAGCTCTTTCCTGCAGCACCTTCGGCTGACTGGCTCGGACGAAATGCAACACTGCAGGGTCGACTTTTCTGTCGGATACGGTACCCTGCCAGGCAATTTCAAAGTCTTGCCAGTTTAACCGGGTTGGAAAATCGTCATCATCATCATCGAGATCGCAGTTGTTTGTTACTAGTGACAAGATCTCCGTTTTATTGAGGATGAAGAAAGGAACATGTGTCACTTTCATCATTGAGTCCATCTTGAGCTTACATATCCGATGGCGGCCATCCAACATTCTGTAACGAACTCCACAAGGATTAAGGGCACCGTCCGCTGCAATGCCAGGCACCAGCGGACAAGCTGCATTCCAACGATCTTCGCGCATTGTCTCGAACTCCGGGTCATGGCAATATGAACCAGTCGGGTCCTCCAGACCTGTATTTCCGCGTTGGTGCATGGGCTTGTGGCACAGTTCTGCCAGGGGCAGGATAGATGGCTCACGTGGCGACCGCAACAGGAGCTCAACAATGTCGTGGATCCTGACGCAGCTCTCGTCGGATTCCATGTCAGAAGAGGCAAGCTGCCACGGTTGCTTGACGGAGTGGAAGCTCTGCAGCCACCGCTCAAAGTCCGGAGTATTTTTGCACCCGGGCCATTTCTGAAGATCCTCCTCAACGGGTTCCCGGACACTCCAACGAGGCTGTGCCCAAGCGACACGCATCTGACCGAGACCTAAACAAACGATCGCAAGCCATGGCACGGCAGAGTTTGAAAAGAGCTTCATCTTTAAAACCAGCTGGAACGCTAAACCCTGAATGTGCCAGCCAGGGTTGCTTCGTTCAAAATCTACGCTGTTGAGGTTTTTTCACAGCAAATGATTGGGTGACCCATCAGGAACGGTGTTGTTCGTATACCGCAATTGACAGTCCAACGAAGGTTATCACGAACAAGCTGGCCTGTGCAGGCTACAACACGAGCCGAGAAGGCAGCATCGCAAAAACAGTTTAGACTTGATGGACGGAATGATTACCAGATTTGTTGGCCTGCGTTCATGAACACGGGTGTTCTTTTTCACTCCGAAGTGCGTGCGCATAGCTTTGAACCCCGAGGAGTATGTTCTAGCCAACCAGCAACTTTAAACCTGCCATAGTGAACACTCATCTTCCCTCGCTTCAGTTCTATCGAAAACGTCGCACATGGTTTGATCAATCGCTCGAACATCAATGCTGCAACGATGTCCTGTGGCTAGGCCAAGGTATTTATTTTTTGTTGTGGCCCCTTTTTGCTCGCGCCCCGTGTCATTGGTTTCCAGAATTTTTTTTGCCGTCGTCCCAGGGTGTGCAAAGTGCCTTTTTTTGTTGCGCCCCGTTGGGCGCCGCGACCTTTCGGCGGGGGGCAGAGCTAAAACAAAGAACACCACCCACCACCCAGGGTTTTTTTTTGCTGCGGCCCCACCGAAAGGCAGGGGAATGAGAAGCCCCGTTGGGCGCCTGCACGGGGCCAGGGCAAGAAAAAAACACCACCCAGGGTTTTTTTTTGCTGCGGCCCCGCTGGGTGGCAGGGGAAGGAGAAGCTCCGTTGACGCCGCGACATTTCGGCGCGGCAAGCGCCAAAAAAAAAAAAAACAACACGAACCAGTGTGTTTTTTTGGTTTTTTGGTCCGGCCCCGCTGGATCATTGGGTGCGGCAGGTCCGGAGCCAACAATTATTTTGGTCTGGAATTATTTTGTGATTTGTTGTTTTGGCCTGGGTGGGTTTGCTAGAGTGCTATTTCCCCTAGGTTTTCGGTAGGAAAACGTACATGTCCTTGGTTTTTCCTTTCAGAAAACCTTGTTTTCCGTACATCTTGGGCGGATTTCGTGCCATTTTTCTCAGGTTTCCGGTAGGATAACGCACGTTACCTTGGGTTTTGTTGAGAAAAAACTGATTTCCTTACATTTTGGACGGATTTCGTGCCATTTCCTTACGTTTTCTTGAGGAAAACCTATGCCACCTTCGTCGTCGTTGTTGTTGTTGCTGTTGTTGTTAAACAGCAGCCCGCAATTGTTGTTAATTAGAAGCACTTGGGAATGCTTCCGGCGACCGCATAGGATGCTTGTAGAGTTTTGGGGATGCAAGCCACGGCTTACACAGCATCTGCCCCATGATACAAATGTGGCGTAAGCTGGATGGTTGTTGCTAAGGGGGGTGTCAAAACAACAGACGGGGCTCCAGTTTTTGTCTCTACCACAGGGTAAAAACAAAGGCCCCATTGAAATCAGGACTTTGTCTTTACCCTGTGGAAGAAACGAAAACTGGCGGCCCGTCTGTTATTTTGACCCCCCCTTACAACAACCGCCCACATTACACCACATATCCACGACAGGTGTGGGAATCTGCGAAATCCAGAAAGGGTTCTCATGGGTTTTGAAGGGCCAGTCTGGATTTTTGAACGGTTTGCATTAGATATCGAACGATTCAAAAGCATTTGAGGGGAGATTGACGGGTTTTATGTGATGGTGAAGGGCTTGATCCACGTCTGCCGCTTTGACTTTGGTCCCAGGCCCTCAGATCCACGTCTGATGCTTTGGACATGCGCACACAAAACCTTTTCAAAACCACGCAAACTCCATGGACATACATACAAAATGCACACAAAAATCTTGCAGATACACACAAAATCAAGGAAATACGTAACAAGTCGTTGGAAACACCTACAAATCCATAGAGATAACACAAAATCCTTGCAAACACGCACAAACTCCTCGCAAATAGCCACAAACTCCTTGCAGATACACACCGAATGATTGAAAATATGCACCAATACACACCAAATCCTTGCGAATACGTTGGGGGGGCAAAACAACATGACGGGGCTCCTGTCTTTGTCTCTACCTAATGAATGTACAGACAAAAAAGATATATGGATTGACGGGGCTGCAGTTTTTGTTTGTACCTTCTTTGTTGCTGTTGTTGTTGTGGCCAGTGGTCCTGTTGTTGTTATTGTAAATGCTCTTGTTAATGATTAATGTTGTTGTTTTTGGTAATGTTGCTGTAATTGCTGATGTTGTTGTTGCTGTTGTTGTTACCATTGTTGTTACCATTATTATTATTTATTGCTGTTGTTGTTATTATTACTATCCTTGTTGTTATTGCGGTTGTGTTTTTGTTCTTGTTCATGTGAATGTTACGGTTCGTGCCGTCCTATACTTTGATATGCCTTGTTATATTTTTATATAACATAATACAGTATACTATAATATACCATAACAGACTATAACATAAGAAAATATACAACAATGACGCACCCTTTATGATGAGTTTTGAAAAGCTCTAAACAATTTTGTGCTTGATGCAAGTCTTGTTCATGGGGCGATGTTCCTGAAAACAGGCCTGCACTGCTTATAAACAAAGTGGGGGGTTGGGGCGGGTGCACACCCCCCCCCCCCCCATTTGCAAACACAACGGGGTCCATATGGGTTCTGTCTTCGCTGGCAAGATGATACTCGAAGCGTCTTTGCTCAGCTTAAATAAACAGGAGCTCAGCTGCACTTTCCTCTTCCTCGGCAAGTGCCGTTGCTCTGGTGCTTTCTCGAGGCAGTGAGCCGTCGAAGCAAGCTGTGGAATGTACATCACAGCAGAACTCTGACCCACCTTTAACAGGGCGGGAGGGTGGGTTCTTGAGCCCCGGAAAATACGTTGGCGATCGCTCCTAAGCCACAGGAGCTCAGCTGCACTTTCCTTTTCCTCCGCAAGTGCCGTTGCTCTGGTGCTTTCTCGAGGCAGTGAGCCGTCGAAGCAAGCTGTGGAATGTACATCACAGCAGAACTCTGACCCAAAGATCCCCAAAGTTTCCAAAGCACCAGATCTAAAGGTGTTGCCAGAGATAGACCCAGGTGGAGGGAGGAACACCCGCCGTCCACCAGAGTTGTGCCTGTCGAAGAGTAGAGTCAAAGAGCTCAGCAGTTTTCTGAACTTTGTGCCTGCTGTCTGCAGAGAGGTCTGCAACGAAGGTTGAAGCTCCGACCTCCTGCAGGTAGATCTCCATCACTTTGTGAGATACCCACCTGCCACGGCATCTCACCAGTTCGGAGTCCTCTGTAGCTTGTAGTAAAAAGATTGCGCCGCCAGGCCGTAGTGACCCGAGGTCGAGGGGTTTTTCTTTTCCCTTGACCCGATCGACGCCAAGCACTGCAAGGATTGCGTAGAGCCTTTTCCGTAGCGTCTGCTGGGTAAAAGGCCAAAGGGGCGCATCCTTTGGCAAATGTTCGAAAGCCAGGCGTGCAACAGCTACGAGATCAATCGGCTCGAGCTTAGCCGACTGATGTCGTGCTGCTCTGGCACGGGTCTTGGGCTCGTTGATCTTCAAGAGAACAAAGGCCTGAGACCACAGAGCGTCAGCCGGGAAGACGAGGTCGCGACGGAGCGCCTTGCAGATTTCGCCTCCTCTGAGTAGAGTGCCCCAACCCAGAGCAAAACAGCCAGCTTTCCTAGCCCAGCCCCATTAGAGCGCGGCGGTCAAAACACTGAGGAGGACGACCAGAGGCATAGCCGTATAATGTCCGTAGGGTTCCTCAGCTAGCCAAGTGAAGGCAAGGTCCCAAGCGCCCTGGGCCTGCCTGCGCAGAGCTGGCCGCAAAGCGGTGATGGCGTTGACAGTCTCGGCGTAATGCCAGTATGGCCTCCCAGAGTTGTAAAGATCCTTCCCGTAAAGAACAAGCCAGTCGCAGAGTTCCTCAGGGTCGAAGGGTTTCTTTTCTAGCAGAAGCTCGAGAGTAAACCCAGCGACTTCCTCAAGCCATTGCGAAAAGGCAGCGGTTAACCAACCCCTATTAGTTCTAGTCCGTGCTTGCACTGGCCGGCCTGACTGAAGGAAGGGAGCTCGGAGAAGTGCTCGTGCCCGGTCCTTTTCGTCACGGGCCTGAAGGATGCGAGGTTGCGGTTGCGCGGCCGGCGCGACGCAAAGTCCAAAAGGGAGTGCGACAAAGAACAGGAGTGGGCTGAGGGAAGGTCCCTCACCAGGAAAGCCAAGGGTCTGGGCGAAATCCAAGGTAGCCCCAGGGTGGACGCGAAGCCCAAAAAAACCGGGAAGCAGTAGAGGAAAGTCACGGAGGGCCTGGAGGCGGCAAGGCGCAGGCACACTGACGCTAGCCCCCACGAAAAGGTAGAGCCGCACCCGCACCCAATTGGATCGAGGCTTCGAAAGTCCACTCAGGCCTGCTAGCCCCCAGAGGTCGAAGAAGTCGATGAGGCAGGTCCCTGGTTGGGTCGTCGGAAGGGTTCAACCTGGTGGAAGAGCAATGGAGCCCGGGGTAGAGGCTGCCAGCAAGAGCGATGGAGGAGGCCCTTCTCAAGGATGGGGAGATCAGCTTGGCGGAGGATCGCCCCTTTTGGTGGCTGCCCAAGACAACAGAGGAATCGGTAACCTCGATAAAACGCAGGTCTCCACCGCTGACCGTGAGATCTTTGTACAGCTGCACCGCCGCATCAGACTCGTGGGTGTTGACGTGGCGAGAGCGCCGCCACCTCCACACCCTGGTTGGGACCCATTGCTTCGTAAGAAGAAGGTCGTTGACCAAAATGTTTTCGAGGCCGGGAGCAAGCGCAGCGAGAGGTGCAGCTAGAGCCTGAAGTGTGTTGCGGATTCCGACGGCAGTGGGCTGGCAGAAGGCTGCAGTGGAAGAAAGGACAGTCAAGCCGCAGGCGGGGGCCTTCGTGTGAAAGGCGCAGCCTGGGCAGGCCTTGAAGATCGGGCTTAAGTCAACGTGGCAGGTACTGACAGTGAAGCCCAAACACCAAGGAAGT